AACTCATCAGTGACTATATATACATACATATATCTAACAATCTACAAAGTTGCCTATAAGCACGAGTCCTAGTGACTTGGTTTATCTATGCATCTCATTAACTACATCACTTAATCACTTGGCAAATTGACATTCAATTCAGTATGTCGACCAATCACCTTTTATCACCACTTGCTATGCATTGATTAATTATACACACTATGAATTCCCATTTAATGCTATAATTGAGGGGCTCTAAAAACTACTCATATCCCCTACAATGTAAAAAAGGTTATATAGTTCGCCATATTGGTTTAATAACCATCTTATCCAATTATGTATGGACCAAAATTGAATAGTTGAATTTGATAATAATATAACGAAAACAGTAATGAAGGATTGTTGTGTATACTCTCCAAAACTCAATAGACTAATTTATTAGGTGGGAGAACGGAGAAGAAACAATGTAATATAGATGTGGACGCTTGTAAGCAAAACACAATTATGAAACGGTAAGTTGGTTCGAAATTATGAAATAAATTATTAATTTTATTGTAAATTATAATGAAAACTTCTTATGATCACAAGAACTAAATACCAATAGTAATCTATACAGTGATATATTGTCAGAGCCGGTTCACCCAGTCCAGTTAGAGCCGGTTCACCCAGTCCAGTTGGGCTTGGGCTTACGTGAGACAGTGCAATGACGACGTATCCGTCACCCAGTCCAGTTGGGTTTGAGTTTTCGAATGAGTCACAAGTGAGGGGGATGTTAGAATATACACTTGTGAGTTGTCCCACATCGTCTATACAGGGAATATAGGCCTAACTTATAAGCTTAGTGGGCTACTCCTCCTACCACCAATTGGTTTTGGGATGGAACCTCACTTGGGTTTCATTTGGGCTTTCCTGCTTTGGTGCGCTTCGTCCGTTGGACCGCACCCGTCAACTCCCGTTTCTTCATTTATATATATATAATCTTTTTGCTTTTTTGCTTCTTTTTTTTTACATACATATAATAATTATAAATTTTCTTTATTTTAATCATGATTGCATTAATTTTTCCGCCTTTTGTAAAAAAATTGGATTTTTGACTTGATTACAACACATTTTCAATTACAACAACTGGACCATTGGTTTTTAAGGGCTGAGCATGAGACTCGAAAAATTTCGAATCGTTCTGAAAATTGAATTGAAATCACTCTGAACCAAAAAATAACAGTTGACCATTTTGACTTTCTCCGAATCGAATTGAACTGAAAAAATAATTGGTACGGTTCTTGAGATTTTGTAAATATCCGTACCGAGAACCGAACTGAATCATCTCATACCGTACCAAACCGATGAATCAAAATTAAGAACCGAATTATAACATTAGATGTGTGTTATTAATATATTTTATGTCAACTTTGAGCCTATATAAATTGAGAATTTATAAAATACAAATAAAATATAATAATAACAATTAAACTTCACTTAAATTTTATGCTCAATAATACTTGATCTACAATTTAATTTTCCTATTATAAAAAAATTATTTAAAATGGTATGAAAGTTTAAAGAATATTTTTTAAGAAAAACTATATTATATTTTTTTTGAATTTTAAATTTTCGATATTAGTTGCACAAATTA